GCATCGAACAATGGAGCAATCATTAAGCATTGGTATGTTTCGATAGCAAATAATTTGGGAAACAATTTAATGAAATCGAAGAAGCAATTAATCATATTAACATAGTTTCTTTCTTATGTTTTTTGATAATTTGCTAGAAACGTTTTTCAAACTTGGAAATATTGAATACTAACGTAAGTCAGCATTTTTATTTTTAATGTCAGTTTTATGTTATTTGGTAATTGTAAGAAATTTAGAATTAAAATAATAAAATAATAATAGTATTAGCAATACATTTTAATTATAACATGCATTAGAATTTAATTTTTCATGATAGTTGCCGGATTGCAAAATTTTTACAACGATGAAAATTCCTTTTATGAAGTAAATTAGCTTATAGGATTAAAATGATTGTATGATATTGATAAAAATCTTTAAAACTTTCCGTCGGGTTTAATAAAACTCTTATTTTGAAATGACGCGAACAGGTGTGACTTTTGTTGTATGTTTGACAGAGATCACATAAGATTCCATTGCTATTTTTAAAACGTAATATGCGAGAAACACATTAATTATCGACATTATCGCGATAAAACAAATATGGTCTTTTGACAAAATCGTTTTAAGATATACGATCTCTCTTTCTTTCTCTCTACTCACAAATATAGGTGTGACGCTTTTTAAATAGTATGTCTTTTCGATCGCAGACATTAATCATGTAGCACCTACATTATTTTTTTTTTGTGGATCAAAATTAATATCTTTTTTTATGTGAATTTTATAACTAATAAGAATTGTTATATCTTGTTTGTTTAGCAAATATTTGTTGTATAATGAAATATCTATCATATTTTTTACGAATTTTGCGCAAAGAAAATCTAAAAGAGAAAAATAAAAAAATTGAAATTTTAGAAGGATGATAAAATAATTTTGAATTCATATGATCATCCGACGTCTACAACAAAAAATTTCCGTCGTATCACGTGATGTTCTTTGCACGGTAAATACACAGATACATTTTCTAAAGCATTCTAATTAACTAATAATATATTAAACAAATAACTAGATATTAACACTTTTTTCTGCGCGGATTGCAAGCAATGTACTATATTCTCTTATGTCTTTATTTCAAATTTCTCGGAAGAAAAATTTGACTGCCCTCTTTTCATTGACTTTAGTTTACGTCCTAATATAATTGGAGCAACTATTAATTAAAAAAATAATTAAAAATAGATAGTAAATAGATAACGAATAGAATTGCATCAAGCAACAACGTAACGTATTTACCGGTTGAATTGTCAACGTGTACAAAATTATTCAATGACAACTATACCTGTCATTATCGATCAGATGTTATTCGTATTAGTTAGCAAAGACACAAAAACTTTACAAATACTTGCGAGTTATAGTCATTAAATAATGTTATATTTTTCACATAAAATATTTTCCATTTGCATCGAGTTTCATAACGCTTTACAATTATCAAAAAACAATTTTTGTCTTCACGATTTTCTCTCATAAATTTGCGCAATTTCTTTTTAGAAAACAAAAACGCAAAATAAAACAAAGAATAATTCGATGACGTGCAAGTTCGACATACGTGCCGCCTACCATATGCAGATATACATATAAAGTATAAGCGGAGACATAACGGCGGATCACGTCGAGGGGTTAAGAATGGAATGACGTGGCCGTAGGTCCCTTTAAATAGCCACTAGGCTCCTTTAAATGTCCCTTTTGTCAACTCGCGACCGGGCGTCAAATAAATCCGGGTTTCATAACTCTCTCGACCGTAATAATTAAAAACCTCGATGCTCTCTAGTCGGAAGTCGGCGCGGCGGCGAATAGAAAGGCACGCGCGCTTCCTCTCCCTTGGTGAATGACACCGTGCATCATGACAGGCGGACGGCTTTATTGTTGCTAAAGCCGTTGCGAGCTAGTCCGAACTCACCTAAGGGGTTACGTAATCACAACAGGTGTCTCTTTCTCCCTTTCGTTTTTTTCCCCCACCTTTACGGCCACGTGTTCCAGCTCTCGCACCCATGTTTCGCGGTGATTTAACACGTAATCGTGTTTGGCGACGTCGAGTCTTGCGTTCGGAATTTCCTGGCAATTCTCACGGCGATCATTGAACAGATTACGTATACTCGCATAGATGTTTCCTTATCGGCCACCGTTATAGTGTAAATGTTGGAAGTTATCTTTTCTTGTATTTTTCCTCTTAAAATTATTGTTACCGAAATAAAGGTCACTAAAAAATTCTTGTTAGCGTAAATAACTCGTTTAAATATACGTCTTGTCGCAATTACGGCCAGCTCTTAAACTATTTTGTGTAAATGATAAAATTTTTAATTTTTTTATAATTAAAGAAAAAGAATACAAAAGAAAGGGTATATAATATCGATATTGTGTGATATTTGAATTGTATATATATATATATATATATATATATATATAAATGTATCAAGATTCGCGCCAGTAACAGTAACAAGAATGATAGTCGTAAGTGTTCGTTATTTCCATTGACCAAGGAAATAAATTCGATTGATTTATGAGGCAGCGGAAGGGAAGTCGCAGTCATTTTACGCGCGTGATCGCAATACGTTTATTCTCACGTGTGTTTGCTTGCGTATTGCAACAATGATGTCACTGATATATAAAATTCCTTTGGGACTCCTCGTGACATCCGGCTTATATGCGATATAAATTTTCTTTATGGCGGATTGCCTTTCTCGACGTGAATGTGGACGATATAATCTGAATGTAAAAGTGTCGGTGTAAAAAAATGTACACATGTAAATCAGTTCGATTTGTGTACTTCGCGTGGTTAACATTATTTTTAAAAGTATCTATTATTAGCTGAGCACAACAGATGGTATATACGATGATGATTCACGAGAATAAATGTGACCTCGCGATAAATGCATTGAAGCAGGAAGATATATATTATTGTCACAACTGCAGCACACCAACCGCAACTGGTTTCGCGATTGCGATTGTAACCACGGAAATTGTAACGCTACGTATCCTTACACATACGTATACATTCGGTGTAAGGTCGATGCGATTTATATCCAACAGATCTAAAATATAGATAACATTCCCAAATGTTAAATTAATCTTTCGAACAGATGAAGCCCGATTTATATTCATATGGATATTCGTACATGACAAATTTTTCCAGCTGATTCTACTACAAACTGAATTTTCTTTTGTTTAATATTTTCTTAAGCACACATACTTACCTTATCAAATCGAGTAACATTTTAAATCTATTTACACCTAGATTTTAATTTATCATTATTTTAAATATCTGCACAGAGAGAATTTTCTCTTAGACTTTATCTTGAAAATCATGGTAATCGTGGAACAATATGGTATAAGAATTTTATAAGAGTTTCTTTGATTAAATATTTACCACAATAAAAAAAAATTAATATCTACCACAATAAGATAAAATACATATGTTCGATTAATTTTACTATAGTAAAATTGTAATAGTGAAATTGTTATAGTAATTATTCAAACATATTTTATATCTTATTGTGATAGATATTAATACTTTTATTGTGGCAAATATTAATCAGAGAAACCTTTATAAAATTCTTGTACCATTATTGTCCCACGATTACCATGATTTTCCGGATAAATTCTAAAAGAAAATTCTCTCTGCGTATACGTAGCATACTTAAATTGTTTAAATGTTATTGCCTATAATAAAAAAAATAATTTTAACGAATGATGTAGATGAACAAGTACTCAACAACTCGTTCTTTTCATTATAATATTAATATTACATTATATTAATATACTTATTATATTATAGTTAGTATTTTTATTATACATATATTTAAAATTAATTTCAATAAATTGAATGATTGAATAATATATAGACAATCAATTTTGGCTTGGCTAAAATTTAATAAATAATTAAATCTCAAAATGAGTTAGCTACGAGAGCCCGGGCGCAGTTAATAAGGCGCATATATATTTGAATGAATAAATTTAATAATAAAATTAATTACATTAAAAGATGTTGATAATTATATATATCGCGAATCCATTTTTATGCAACATTTGACTGTTGCTTATTTAGATGTTTTTGCAATTGCAGTTGATGCATTGCTCCGAACCATAGGAGAACACAGAGAATGATGAACAATATACCAACTTTAAATGCAGGTTTCTTTGTAGTATTTTCCAACTTCTTCGTCCTACTGTGTTCTTCCCTCCATTTTATCAATTTTTTCATACGTGCATCCGTAATATTTTCAGCGGATTGCGGACTGGCGGATAATCGAAACATCTTCTAATTTCCGATTATTATGGAATACTCATCGCGTTCTGACTTTCTTGCGACTTTCTACATGCTTATAAGCATATATAGAGTTTTACTTGGATTCACGTGTCTGAAACCTGGACGCGGATTCTTATATCGCTGCTTGAAATCCGACATTCTGCGACACGATTCAACGTATCTTTACAGAAACTCACGTAAGCCCAAACAACAGCAGTACAACTGAATTAATTATTCAGTTGTATTGCTGTTGTTTGGACGTACGTGAATTTCTTACGATACGTTGATTACAATAAGAATTCATATCCAGGTTTCGGACACGTCGATCAAAGTAGAATTCTGCTGCAATTACAAAAACATCTAAACAAGCAATATCGTTAAATGTTGCAGAAAAACGAATTCGCGATATATAATTACCAACATTTTTTAATATAATTAATTTTATTATTAAATTTATTTATTCAAATATATATGCGCCTTGTTAACTACGCCCGGGCTCTCGTAGCCAACTCATTTTGAGATTTAATTATTTATCAAAATTTTAAATCTTGCGCCTAGAGAACAATTATTTAAAATTGAGATCAACATCAACTTCTTAATCATCTCGAATCTCGATTGCATCTCCTCAATAGAAATTTTATGTATATTTTTATACTTAACCATTTATACATTTTTGATCTCGTACACTTTTTTGAAGAATAAAAAATTTGGTATAATGTTGTAGGTAAGCGGGTGGGAGGCGCTGCTGACCGGTGGCGGCGGCGGCCATGCGCCCCGGCCCGCCAGTACAGCCGAGCCGCCGCAGGTCTCCCCGTCGCCAGCATCATCCGTATCAGCAGCAGCTCCATCGGGAGCGCGACCGCAAGCAGCGGCAGGAGCATCCTGTTCCATCGCGTCTGCCGCGCGTCGACGGTCCGCGCGCCCTCCTGGTACTGCTGCTACTGGCCAGCAGTCCCCTGGTCCTGGCTCGGGCTCAGGAGTCGCCGGAGTCATCGGCGATTCGGTACAAATTGACAGCCGCCTCTCATCAAAATCTCTGGTCGGGGGGCAACAACACGGCGGCCCAGCCGCTGAACTTGACCATCGGCTACCTCACCGCCATCAAGGGCGGCCTCAAGGATCGTCAGGGTCTCGCCATCTCCGGCGCTCTGACCATGGCTCTCGACGAGGTAAGACTTGGTACTGTTTTTTTTTTTTCTCGCACTTTGAATCCTCAAAGAGCTATCTCGAGTAAAGTAGAGCGAGATGAACGAACGTGATTGCAAAGGCGCGCAACGTGTACATTGTCCAAGGAAAAAAAGAGAAAAAAAATAGAATCCATTATTCTTTTATACATCTCGTTTACTGGCTCTATATTCTCACTCGTATTGTACTTCATTCTTCATGATATGTAATATTATATATGAAATATGCGCGATGTTATTATCGGAGGAGAATGACGAAATTGTGTTAACGCCGATTGTGCGTAATCGATCGTATATACTTGGTGCGGTTTAAAAGCATTTTAACGAACGAATTCTATTGATATATTGCCGCTGGTGCAATCAGTAGCCGCGTTTCTCGGAATATAGGAAAACCGCGTCTGCGTTCTTATACCGCACGAAGTCGTTTACTCGCTCATTATTCGCCAATCATGCGAATAGTAATAGCATCTTATATTCTGCCATTAACCACCGACGCGTTTCAACCGTGGAAGCGATCAATCGATATTGATGAGACGTAAAATTATAGATTCCAAACGAGTATTTTAAGGAAAATCAAGACTTAAACGCAAGGTAGAATTATAGCTCACAATCAATGAAACGCTGTAAAGTTAAACGAAAATTAGGTCGCGGCAGTGACTGATTCATCTTGAATTTAATTTAATATATACAAAATTTCGATATCTTTTTTTATCTCAATCTTTTACGCGATTAAATATTTCTTAGATAATTATCTAGAAAAATAAAGAGAATGTAAATTGCGAGGTTAATGTTATTTAAGACGATAACTGAATTTTTATAATGCTTGCGCACTATAAAGTGGCTGGATAAGTGCGTACACAATAACATAAAAATATCAAATAAATCAGTATCTCTAAAGTCGTACAGCGCGCAAATGCAGCTAAGCAAATGCAAACGAATGGGCAAGCTTATTTCAGTTTGCACCGAGAAGTTAATCGCCAAGAAGCCTCCGCATATACATATACATATTCCCCCTTAGGGATCAGTTCTTTAATTCCAACGTCGAAGGCGGGGATCGAGTCCAGTCGATGATCCGACTCTCTCGTTCCGAATCTTCTTCGATTACCCAACTAACGACAACACAATGTTCTTTTTTTTTCCGATCCTGCTGCCGCTCGCTCAGGTCGGTCGTCCCGCTCCAAAAGCCTCGATAATTCATTCGGCGGATCCCCTATCTCTCTTCATCCCCCCCCCCCCCCCCTCGCTCCCCCAGGGTCTCTCGCGATGCTATCCATAGGGGACCGTGAGACCGTTTTCGCCCGGGCGTGTTGCACGCCGGTTAAAGAGGAAGTAAAAAGAGAAAGGTACGCGTGGCTCTCGCGAGGGCAGAAGTGATTCCTCTCGGAATAACGACGAGGGCCCAGGAAAGGGAGAGAAGGGATATGCCCCTGCGAAGGGTTTAAAAATACAAGACCGGCGTTATTCTCCGGTCCGCCCACGCGTGCCGACAAAACGGCGCTCTCTCGCGCGCGAAGAACCGTGAGAAGAATTCGCTCGCGAATTCGGGAACGCCATACCTGCCTCTTCCCTTCCTTCTTCTTCCCAGATATCCCCATGGGCGTCCGCAGAGAGGGGCAAGAGGGTGCATTTGCAGGGTGTCTAGCGGTCAGGGAAATCTGGAAAGCCGGGCATTGTCAGAGAATTTGAGAAATCTGGAATTGTCAGGGAAAAGTCAGGAAATTTTACTATTTATATCTGGATTTTTTCACATCAGCTTACATTTGTCTCAATAATTTGAAATTATTTATTAAACAAGTATAAACTTTTCCTTGACTCCTAGCACGCTAATTTTCTGTCTTGTTAAAAATCGATTCACCTACAGCGTGCTCGTTAATTTATATTTTCATCTTGTGTTATTTTGTGATATAATATGTATAAATAAAAGTGGTGATTATTTAAATAATTTATAGTGACATGTTTGTTTCGATTATTGTATACATAATGCAGATTGTATAATTGATTTAAATTTTTGTCTTAACTTCCGAACCTTTTCATCGTTGATTTGTCATATAGATGTATGCAAATTATATATTTGGAAAAAATAATACTAAAAAATCAGGGAAAAAATGAATTTCTGGTCTTGGAAAATCTGAAAAAGTCAGGGAATTTTTTTCATCGAGTCTGTTGGACACCCTAATTTGTTCCTCTCCTTGGAATCAGGAAAAATATTAAGCATTTGCTCTCTTTTTAAACACTCTGGACTTTATTTGCATATTTAATATGAAAAAAATAAAAATAAGAAAAAAAATTTAGAAAGAACGAAAAAATCCTGTGGACGCCCATGTCCAGCCCCCTCTTTCTTGCCCTCCCACCGCATTTTTCTTTCTTCTTTCCCAAACCTGCCTGCGCTCTCTTGCAATCTGCGACCGCATGTGAGGGATCTTCAAAGGGGAGGAAAAGGAAGATGAGGGAAGCTGCGGTGGAGAGGGAGGAGGGCAGAGAACCGTGCGAATCGTCGAAATGAGCATCGATCTTATCACGACACGCGATATCCGGGTGTATGTACATGAAAATATAAGGCGGTGTTATCTTTCGAGATTAATTGCCACTTTGATCGCAACAGAGGAGAGTGTAAAGATCGATAGCGCGTCGAAGATGCATCGGAGGTTAAACTTTCCCCTCGAATATCCTTCTTTCGATTCTCCTTATCTTATCGAGCGAGCATTTATTATTTACTTTCTGCTCCTTTTTGGTTTCTAACATTATCGTGTAATTATACATAAAGATCGTGTAGCGATTTTTTTTTCAGAAATGTTAATGGCTTTTTATATTCTTCAAAGTATTTTAAGGATAATAATTTTTCGAGCGAAGCCCGTAATTGCAGGCAACTATAGAGAGTTCTGAAAATGATCGTAATTTAGAGACAAAGCGAGCGAGAAAGTATATATACGGATCATAAGAGTGGAGAACGCGCGTATGCATATTTAGAATGATTTATATATTCATTTTTCTTTTTTTTGGGGGGGGGGGGGAATGAAAAAGAAAAAGAAATGAAGTCTAACTCTGGCTCGCTTGCGTTTCCGCGCTCCGCGAATGAAATTTCTCTTTCAGCAGTTCGATGCACCGCACGCGGTTGCAACGATAAACGCATAATGACTCTCCTCACTGCGATGCATGCCCGCGCATTCAGCGAGTCGAAAGGTGCAGGAAACGAGCTTTGCGGCCGTTTATTTATATCCTCCGATATGCCACGCAAGAGTAAGCATCGCGATCGCAATGTCGGCCTCTGTGTGTTCGTGGCTAGGATAAAGCTCGATTCACAAATGCGTGCAGTTCTCCAGCACGTTGCCGATGTATATGTGCATAATGCGATACCGAGAGAGAGGGAGAGAGCATCTTTTTCTCAACAAAGAGTAACCTCGCATTTCTCGCACATCATAGGGCTTATTTTATTTTAGCGACCCGACATTATCGGTTATCGACCCCTTAATGACGCAAATTACACTACGATGCGATAATTGAAGTTCAATCAGTTTATTATTGTTCTAGATAACAATTTCTTGCGGTAAGTCAGCTGTACGTGCTTGATATTGTATCACTGAATATTACATGAATATTAGATAAATATTAATATTTATTTTATATAAATAAGAAAAAATATATCATTTTTTACATCTAAAATGGCCGGATTTCTTGTCGATAGATGATAGTGATTGAGCTATCTCTCTTGAGATTGGAAAATATTGTTTACGTAAAGCATTGCGCTAGTAACATTTTTTTATCGAAATGATTCAACATAATCATTTTATGGCTCTACCTTACACACATCTATAATATACTGTTCAACGTAAAGTCTATGCACACTGTGTGTAACATCAGAGTCACATCAACTTAACGTTAAATATTCTTATATTATTTTTAAATAGATAATACACACGTGACTATCATAAAAATCGCCGGCGAGAATATTATGACGTCTCGTTTCCTTTAATGTCATTGCATATAATGTGTATCGTCAGTCATTAAAATTTAATTTTTTTGTTAGCATTCAATGGATAATATAGTCCCTTATACTATGTTAATTAATATAATATTTGATTGCACAAGAGGAGTCTTTGAAATCTTATATAGTACATTCTTTATTATATAATATTTCCAGCAATCTCTTACTTTTTCCTTTTCTTGCCATTGATTGTATTTATTACAAATTTATTTAGATTAAAATCAAATTGAATCGTGTATGAGATAGCGAAAACGGTGGTCGTTAATTAACGATTATTATATATGGAAAACAGTTTGACAGGAAATAGCGAGAGTGACGTTTCTCATATAGCATATGTATACACAAAGAGAATTTTTTTTTAGAATTTACCCTAAAATTATAATAATCGTAGGACAATATGTATTGGAAAAATTTTACAAGAGTTTCTCTGATTAATATTTACCACAACAAGAAATATTAATAATGTACACAGAGTAAATTTTGCTGTGTACATATAAATTGCTGTGTAAAATTAATTGAACATATTTTTTATATCTTATTGTGATAGATACCAATATTTTTCTTATTGTGATAAAAATATTAATCAGAGAAACTGTTACACAAATACTTTGATTTTCAGAATTAAAAAAAAATTATCTCTGTATAGTCCTTATATCGTGTACGTCAAGTCACTAAGTTTAACAAAATAATATACGAGTTTAATAATTATGCAAAGATATATCATCAGAGATCATGTGCGTGTGAATCGCCCTTTAATACTCGGTTCGGTTACGGCGGTCGCAAGTGCAGGATACAGGTGTTACAGTACCACCTTGCGCGCGCGCTAATCCAGGCGTTTTCGCCCGCGGGTATGCAAAAAAAAAGAAAGAAAAAATCGTGGAATTTACACTCGCCGATACGCACTCTTACTACACGTGAACTAGTCTCTCTCTCTCACACACACACACACACACACACGCACACACACGCGCGCGCGCGTTCGGTATATTTGTAAATAGAGCGTTAATTAGCGATTTTGCATAATCGGCGCGAGAGAGCAGCCGCCGTAATGGGCGCGGCGCACTTGGCTCTTTTAAACGCGCAGATCGCAATCGTAATATCCGTTCGCGGGTGGGTAATGCGGTCCACATGCGTGGCTGTGTAAATTGCCCGCGTATAAAGTCGATCTCTATTAATAAATAATAAGGCGCGCCGGTGCGCAACGTCGCTACTGTTGACCCGACTCTTGATGAAGGAAGTGTAATTTAAATGAGCGGCGGATTAAGGAGAGGACTTTCACTGCGCCGGGGAACAGAATTTTTCGCCCTGCTGCGGTTATAATGGTGTGCGAAACGAATCATACGAGATATCACTTGAAAAAAAAAAAAAAAAAAAAAACAATTGAATTGACGGTCGGTCTGAATAAAATCGAAGAGTGATTTACAGTCCCGGGACGGAAATTGCCTTACTCTTTTTTGAAAAAGTTTTGCCTACGCAATGTATGTATTTTGTATGTGTTCGTGCGCTATCCGTGTGTTTATTTTAATTGATATATCGAGGGAAATATATTTTCTCCGACATACGTATAAATGCTGTTACGATTTGGAAAAATATGAAAATGACATTTGACAACATCAGCGTCTATTTACCTAGAGGCAAATATAACGTTGATATGCAAATTACGTCCTATAAATGTGATTATTGAATGCGTGTATGCGGCACATGCAAAATCAGGAATGCGAGGCATCCAACGGGAAAAGTAATATTTTTTTTGTAGTGTTTCATGAAACCGCTTTAACGGTGCTGTAACAAGCAAAGACTGCACAAATTCATGACGCTGTCATATGAGTCTCTCCAAAGCCGAACTCATCAACTTTATTTTTTGTAATTTTTTTATTTTAATATCAGAGCACATAATCAATGCTCCGATATTAAAATTAAGAAATTTACAAAAAACGAAGCAAATCAGGTTGACTTTTTTAAAGATTCATATATTGCGATGCGATTTTTCGTAAGCGCATGAACGTTTTTTTGCGTAGTAATAAAAGTTGTCTTTCGATATAAGATTAAAAAAATATAAAGATTTCTTGTCATCTCTCAATTTTTTTTATTTTCATTTAATCAATAATATCAATTCTTTTTTTCTTATAACTGTCAATGTGTGGAATTTTTGTTATATTAATACAAAGGCATTTTGGTTTATATAAGACGATAAGCTGTGTTAAATACCTAATGTTTATCAATTTTATGTTGAATAGAATATTCTTTGTTCATTGTTTTATTTATATATTTTATTAAATTTTTAAAATTATTTCATCACACACACACACACACACACATTTATTTTTCGATCGTATCTGTTTCATCTTTCCACAACGTGATCTAATTAATTATATTTTATTAACAATTTATTTTATAAACAATTAGATTTTATGCGAATATTTATCTTCTTTATATTAAAAAATGTTTGCAAAGCGCACGCATATGCTTTGAAATGTGTCAATTTATCTCACAAGATACTTAATTACATGATATCACGAACCTAATGGTAAACCTCTTACTTTATAGATATAGCGCTAATAAATTGTTCATGAAAAATCGTGAATGCAAATAAGTGTGTAATTTTATAATACATGTTATAGAATGTTTAGTTCCTATCTATGGCGTTGATGTAATTATATATTATATTGTACATATATATGCGAATTTTCCATCATGTAAATTAATACTATTCATCATTTACATTATAGAGTGAATCAATATCAGACGAATAATATCAAGTAAACAAATTTGCTAAAATATATTGTACATACAATTACACAAGTTAACATCTTATAATTTTGAATGAATGTAAGTTATATTTTCAAAAATCTTTGAATTTTTATACATTCGGAGAGATTTTTTTACTCGATTAAAAATATTCTTTTTAATTTATAAAAAATGTTTCGCATGTGTCAAATTTTTTACTATTATAAATGCTCTCATGGTATTCGATTCTTTCTGACGTTACCCGTATATTTACATATTTAAAGTATACCTATATCCATAACATTTAAAATTTGATACAGAGTTGGAAAATTAGTTCTACATTTCTATCGTGTATAGGATCTGAAAAAATATATATTTTCTTTCGTGAAATCTCAGCTGAATTCCGTCAACATTAATCAGTAACTTTACGTCACGTGTATCTGAACGCGATCTGATCGTTTGCATACGCGTGGAATAGTTCGAGTAGATTTATTCTACTAACTATGCGGTAACAACTCGATACACCCTGTACAGGTTTGGTCTGGACCAAGTTATATTACAATGAGTGCACAATGTAACCGCGACAACGCGGCCCGCAAAAGGGCTCATTGCACGTGTGCGACGAACTTTTCAACAACGGTGTGTGTCGTCGTGTCGCCGACGTTATAATTTCAGCTCTTATTGCTAGGCATGTAAATTAACGCGCCAAGTCGAAGTGACTCTACGCAGAAAAGTATTGTTTACTGGAATTCAAATTTGCATAATAACCAAGCGTTATAATGTCGCGAGCTGGACGTGAACCGGATGAGCCGTAGGAATGCGCATCGAGAAATAAAACTGCGAAACACCATAATATACACCGAGTCAGCTATTATGGCAGAAACACGTGTGTGATCTCTCGCACTTATTGTATGCAAACCGATATGAACTTTTCATCATGCAAAATTGATTGCGATAAACTTTTATTGCGTAATTGCGAACGATAAGGTAACTGTTATTACACAATGAAGACTTATCGCTAGAAAAAGACTTCATTAAAGTGCGGTATGATTGACATAACATTTCTTGCGGACAAAAATATTCTCTAAAATATTACGATCATAAATATAAAAATATTATTCAGAATTTATTTTATTAATATAAATATTTTTATATACATATGAATTTTCAAGGAGAAATAAGGGAAAATATTGGATCTTTTCCTTCTTTTTTGCAGACATTAAGAAGAAATTATTCTTTTTTTGATGTCTTGCCTTTATATTTTCGCTTAAAACTAGGAATAGTTGTATCATTGTGTTTCAGGTCAACAGCGATCCGAACATTTTGCCGAACGTTACGCTGGTGATGCGATGGAACGACACGAGGGGAGAGACTACCGAAGCTACCAATGCAATGATCGACATGATCTGCGACGGGGTCGTGGCCTTTTTCGGACCGGAAGGCACTTGCTACGTTGAGGCAATTGTCTCTGAAGCCCGTAACATACCTATGCTCAGTTATGTGAGTAAATTACACATTTTTATATTATTTTCTAATTTGATTCTATCATATGTACACTGTTAATAAGTTGTAGTTAGTACACGGAATTTCTAATAGCATGTGTCAATGAGTACGCAATGCTGATGACAGAGACTCCACAAGAGTCGCAATGTTTATTTTATTACGGCTTTTTCGGAATAGAATTGAAAGTATAAGCCATCTAATTCTTTTATATTTTACACATTAAAATTAATATTGCTGTATGTAAAAATATGATATTAATAGGGCTAAAATTTTAAATAATCAGATTTATATCAAATAAATATTTTTCTGATCGTTATATTAATTTATTTAAACAGATTATTGAATGTCACGTTTAATAATTAAATTACCATAATAATAATTTACATATTGTGCGTAATTGAAAGGAAATCGTACGTTAATTTGAGAAGTTTCAGATTTTTTACTGCAATTATATATAATTATAATTTCCAAGCAAGAAATCGTGTGAATTTTTTCTTGCATTATACATCGAAATAAAATAATTCTTTCATATGTCATCACTCGCTTTTGATAGTATAGATTGACAAAATGTATTGAAGTTTCTTTTTGCTTCGTGAATAATAAATTGTGAGCTGTCAAACGGTTCATTTTTATTGAAAATATATTATGCAAATTTGGTTATTATTTTTACTAATGCTAGAAAGGCAAAAAAAGGAGTAACTTTCAAAAGAAATTATAGTTTATCAATCTGTACTAATGCGAATATAATATTATGCTTATGAAGAAGCATTAATTTACTTCGACGTACCTATACCTACTACAAGAAACAAATTTACATAATTTTTCCCTTTGACGTTATAATTCAGTGTGATGGTAATGAGAGACGAAAAACCTCCTAAAGACGTTATTATACAAAGAATGGGAAAAAACGGTAGAGATAATCGGAACTTCGTGGCGCTCTCTCTCTCTCTCTCACTCACTCACTCACTCACTCACTCACTCACTCACTCACTCACTCACTCACTCACTCACTCACTCACTCACTCACTCACTCTCACTCACTCACTCACTCACTCACTCATCGTTACCGATGATTTCGTGCGGACTTGCACAGAGAAACTGGCTGAAAATGGTTTTTTGCCGGCGTGAGAACCGTGGGGTTGTAGGGCACCGACGAGACCAAGTCCTATGGTCTTCCTCGGTGCGGCTTCGCGCGAGAGAGAGAGCGGTCCACCTTAACGAAGGTGGAGGAGGCGACGGCGGAGGTGCGCCCGACAAATTGAACACCCGCGGCGTGACAATATAATTACGGGCCGTGTGCTCTGGGGCGTGCGTGCGTGCATCGTGCATCGGTACGATATGCGTGCAACGTCACGATAGAGCACGCAATCGTGAGTCCGATTCGGTTTCGCCGATTCGAGGAAACGAAACGTCGCTATTTTTCGCGAAATTCATTTTAGATGATGATCTTTAATTCGGAGAAAGAAAATTAAAATACGGAAAATAAACTTCGGGATTATACCCGTAAAATTAGAACACGTATAGGGAACTATTCGTACCGAGTAACGCGCAATAAATGGATTTAATTAATCATGACAGAACATGTAATAAATCGCACTTGATATCACGATCTACATTTCTAATTAAAAAAGAAATGAAGGCTGTTTTTCTCTTATTTATATTTCTTCGAAAAAGTAGTAAGTTCGAAACTGTACTATCGCATAATTAATTAAAGCGATGATATACGAGTACATATGTGTGTATAATTAAATAATTTATTAAATTATACCATCTAAATACATGAACATTTTTTGCAACTATTGTATAAACAGAATTTTATAAAGTTGTAAACTAGAAAATTTCAAAATGTTTTCTTTCTCTCTAGTGGTATTAAACTTATATAACTTTGACATGACTTTTCAATTTATAGACTGCCGGAAACTTCTATATAAGCTTCCGTAGAGTGGCAGTTTAACTTTAGACATTAAATTCATTGCAGCGCACACGATCGCGTGTATCTTAAAATCTTTTAAATTATTAGAGCAATTTTTAATGAGATTATAAAAGTACATGTGCCGTTCGTCGTCGACAAAAAAATTTATTTCATACATAGCATTATGTCGTGTCAGGGTGTCTAGCCGTCCTTGAAATCGTTGAAGTTCTTGAAATGTTCTGAAATTTTGTTTGTTCTTTAAAAATCCTGGAAATGTGCTTAAATTTTTCGTAGATCCTTGATTTTTTTCGTTGTTTCTAAAAATTGAGATTATTCGAGTAAATAATATTTCATCTTACTTTGTAAACAATACAATATATTTTTTATTTAAGAGTCCAAAATATGTGTTACGCATAAGTTATAGATTTTAAGCGTTCAAATATAATATAAGAGAATATTGTATTGAATATTTGTAATGCATATATTAATTTTCATTAACATGCAATTATATCGACTTGCTAAAGAAAATAAAGTTTTCAGTTTTTGTACATCTTTATTATACTATTGGAAAATCGTGCAAATTGCCTTGAAATGTCCTAGAAATGGTCTTAAATTTTATTTTCAAATTTTACTAGACATCCTGAATATCCAATATTATACTATTGGAAAATCGTGCAAATTTCCTTGAAATGTCTTGGAAATGGTCTTAATGGTTTTATTTTCAAATTTTACTAGACACTCTGCGTGTTCAACACAACTGATGAATGGGAGCGTTTTGCGAACGTTACATGCTCCATCATGAAACATTATTACAACGGTTCAGGCAAAGCATATTTAAAAACACACAATTCGGATTTCCACTATATACTTAAACTTCCGCACATCATTACGCAAGTGCAATGAGATCATTTTTCAACGATGATTGCCGCGATAAACGTATATCCAACGAAATAACCCGTCGTTACAGGCCTCGGCTATTCGCGCTCGTATACTTAACGCACAGCTGTAGCCCCGTCTCTGTAATCTATTCTATAAAGAAAAAAGGATTCGCGCGAGCCGGAAAGTCAAGAAACCTAAGCACGTTAAGCCACGGAAAATTAGCCTCGGGTCGTCAGCGATGCGCGACCATGCTCGCCACAAAGTCACGAATCCAGCTACTTACAACATTCCGGCAATGCCAATCGTATAGTCGCATCACCTGCAGCCGCACACACGCCTATATATATATATATATATATATAAATATATAAGCACGTATCTATATGTATATGCATCTATATATACGCCTCGAGAATTTTGCTTTAACGTTCAACACCGCCGCTTCGCGTTTCCTCTTTCCTTTCTTGTCGCAGCGATTAAAGTTATTGGCGTTCCTGAGCTTATGTAAAATAATCGTGCGTTTTAAACGAGACGAATTCATACGACGACGAACGGCACGTGTGCTTTGTCAACCGATCTGTATTACGGATGCGAATTGAAAGTGATATTTATATAGTGGAAATATCGCGAATAGAAGTGTAGGAAATACAGAAAATAATAAAATAATATTTTATTAGAATAATTGTTAAAAATATTTCTTTGCATTTTATTAAGAGCAATAACAAATTGATGAAAAATAAAAAATGTTGCTAAATTGAATGTAACAAATTCAGTTGCAAAAAAATTCAACCCTCAGTTGTCAATAAACATGTTTTATCACAGAGAAACCTTTTCAATACGAGATATACATAAAGATATATATATATATATATATATATCTTTATGTATATCTCGTATTGAAAAGGTTTCTCTGTGATAAAACATGTTTATTGACAACTGAGGGTTGAATTTTTTGAATTTTTTATATATATATATATATATATATATATATATATAAAATAATCGGCATTTTTCCTACACAGTTTTAAATTCACATTAGGAATTTATTCATAATTTGCACGAAATAAAACGAGCCGAGTATCTAATCGAACGACCTCTTATGGTTTTATGTGAAAATCGCCGCGATAGGGGCAGAGGTCCCTCGTAAAATAAACGGCTGAAATAAACGGAAAAGCCGTCGACTATGCACGGTTATATATTATTGTGGAAAGTTTCGCGAGATTCAATCGCAATCGACGAGCGATTCTCGTCGATATAAATCTTTTCTGTGATTAACTTTAAGCTCCACTAGAAAATCAATCGAATTACAACACGCTAGAAAAGACCCTGATCGCGATTTAAAGAACGCCCGTTCGAAGACATATTTTAGAATAAATACAAATAATGGGAAAGTGACACTCGAATACTAAAAGAGATCTTCAGATTAATTTATATCAATTCGCAACAGCGAGAGAGAAAAAAATAAATATGCAAACGATTGGTCAAAAAAAAACGGAGTAAAAAAATTGTTGCTCAATCTCTTGTAATATTACACATACAAAAAAAAAAAAACTTTAAATTCATAAAGTATTCATGTCGCATTTATAAAGAGAGTATGACGAATGAGTAAGGCATATAAAAAAAATTCGCGTTTGACAATATCGATTCTTTCGACAAACATTTCGTATACTTCGGTACGAGAAGACAAAGAGAAGATCGGCAGCGATTGAGCGGGAATGTAAGTGGCTCTTCTCTTGGCACGTAAGGGACAGTGCATAAGTATAAGGAGCTCTAGCACTACATTTACTTTCACCTAGTTTCACTTGTCGTTTGCTGGCAGAAATCGCGCCGCAAATTAGTGCGGATTCCTTCGACGGGGAGGCCTTGCTCCTGTGACGCGTAGTTAAATTTTGTCGAGTGACGGATTTTTTTTTTTCACCGCATTTCGTCATACGGATGTTTGTCGCGCGCTTACGTTGCCGTTTCCGGCAAATTGTTTCCTCTTTATTGCCGTCTCAGCGGCGAATTTTTATACCTGCGAGAACACGCGCGGATTATCAAGAGATAGTATATACATATACTATTAGTTTTTTTTTTCCGTATATTCTGATGACACGAAGTTGTTGTTTCTTCTAAATTTTTTAGAATATATTTATAGAAAATATATATATTATATATGTAAAAACCTGAAACTTTTTTTTACATATTCACAAAATTTAAAGAAATG